GTATTTCTTCGCTTCTTGGAGTGCGGTTGAGTCGTTGGGGGACTTCGCCTGAAGGGCACTTTTCGAAGTTGCCTGGCAAGAAACACAGCGGCAAGGATTCCTAGGACCCTTGGTGTTTAAACGCACACCTCGGGAAATTCTTCAGAAAGGGGGAGCGTGGGAGCAGTCGTAGCTTCGGAAACTTAACGGCCGGCGACAAGCGATGGGTGAAACATCTGCAAAGCGCTGGTGGGAGAAACAGGTTGTTTTGTTAAGCGACATCGGCGGGAGCTGTTTCGACTACGGAGGTCAACGGCGTTGATGCCACTAGGTTCCGTGAAATTCGGTCTCGGAAGACCCAGGGCAGTCCCCGGTTCTCGATTGAACCCACATGCTGGGGTCGGGTAACTGACGGAAACTGATGGTGACCGGGTGGGCGGCTATAGCACGACCGAAGATTTCGGAGGCAAACTGCAACTGCAACTGCGGATTTTCAGGGCTGGTTTCGAACGACATTTTCGAAGTTATTACGCAGGATTTTACAGGTTTTACGGCAAGCAGCGGCGACATTTTGGGAGGAATATTCGGCGTTGGGTTAAACGCGCGCGACAACGACGTGGGCAACACTGCGAGATCTACACGGATTTTCTCAGGGGTACGAACGACTTACGACGAACTGGAGGAGGCGGCAGCAACAGTGGAAGGGGGGAGAGACAGCTGTAATTTTTACATCTCTGCCCGGGAGTCATCGGCATATTGCGACAAAATGCTCGGCGAGTATGGACAAACCCGCCGGAGGTGCTGACATCATCTGACACTGATTTGTGTTCGACAATATTTTGAATGAGTGACATTCGCCACGGTTACTGCTTAGACCGTCAGATTCGCACCTGCTCGATCAACGGCCCACATTCCAACTTCCACTTCACTTTGGGGCAGTTCAACCACGTCCGTCAGATCGATTTCTGACAACATCAACGGCCGACATTCCAACCTTATTTTCAAATTCGCCCAAGGGATTTCAGCCGTCACTCCGAAAAATATTGTCGAACACGAATCCGTGTCAGATGATGTCAGCAACTCCGGCGGGTTTGTCCATACTGGCCGAGCATTTTGTCGCAATCCGCCGATGACTCCCGGGCAGAGATGTAAAAATTACAGCTGTCTCTCCTCCCTCTCCACTGTTGCTGCCGCCTTCTTCAGTTCGTCGTAAGTCCTTCGTACCCCTTGAAAACTCCATGTAGTTCCCGCGTTGTTGCCCCACGTAAATGTCGCGCGCGTTTAATCAGACGCCGATGAAATCCTCCGAAATTGTCGGCGCTTCCCGCCGTAAACCGGTAAGTCCCCACGTAAAACTCCAAAGATGTCGTTCGAAACCAGCCCTGAAAATCCGCAGTTGCAGGTGCAGTTCGCCTCCGAAAATCTCGGACGTACTATAGCCGCCCACTCGGTCACCAGCAGTTTCCGTCGGTTTACCCGACCCCAGCATGTGGGTTCAATCGAGAACCGGGGACTGCCCTGGGTCTTCCGAGACCGAATTTCACGGAACCTAGAGGCATCAACGCCGTTGACCTCCGTAGTCGAAACAGCTCCCGCCGATGTCGCTTAACAAAACAACCTGTTTCTCCCACCAGCGCTTTGCAGATGTTTCACCCATCGCTTGTCGCCGGCCGTTAAGTTTCCGAAGCTACGACTGCTCCCACGCTTCCCTTTTTTGAAGAATTTCCCGAGGGGTGCCTTTAAACACCAAGGGTCCTAGGAATCCTTGCCGCTGTGTTTCTTGCCAGGCAACTTCGAAAAGTGCCCTTCAGGCGAAGTCCCCCAACGACTCAACCGCACTCCAAGAAGCGAAGAAATACCCGCAGCTTCATATTTTTTTGGTCGTTTCACCCCCCGACAATTTCGCTTCCCGCCGTTCACCCAGCGTCCGCTTTTGTCGGATGAGGTATTATCGTTGTTGCCCGCGCGAAACCCGGCCACGGTGGAGAAGAAAAGACTATCGGAGTCGGGGTGCCTTAGTTAAAAGGAGATCATTCCCAACCGCTTTGCAGCCCACCGTGCCCATCGCGCCACTAAAACTCCACAGCTCCCGGTCCCTGCTTCGCCGCTGCGCCGTCACCTCGTGTAGACGCCCGGGTCAGATGTTGTCCTGCGGCGCCCCGATTTTTTCGCGTGCTGTTTCACCCAGCCCGCTTTTGTCGGAGTAAAACAGTGCCGCAACTCCCCCTTTTTTTTTTTATATATTTTCTGTACAGCTGTCGAACGGGCACCAAACCAGGTGCTTTTAACCAGCGCAGGGTAGGCCACGTGTTCCACCCCGTTATTCGGCCAAGTAAGTTGACTGCATGAGTCAGAACTACGACTTGGTGGGGATGGTGAGGTTCGGGCGACGGAAGGTCACAGGCCGTTCACACCGGCTTTTAACCTGCCCTTCACGCCGTTTCTCGACCCCCGCTTAGCCGTCGGGCAGTTTCTTCCCGTGTGTCCCGGCGGCCTGTACCGACTCCTCCGTAATTATCGGGGCAGTACGTTGAACGCCGTTTAATCGTGGGTCGTTCACGGCTGTCCCCGAAAACGGCTTCCCTGGTAGGAGAAACCGCTCTCGAAACTGCCGGCCAGCTTGCAACAACTCCAGGCACGCAGCGTCGCACGAGTCGTTTTCCGAGGTTACCGGCCCCGGTTTCCCTCGCTGCCTGCGCCCCACTTCTTCTAAGTGCGATATGGCCACTCCGCTTTTCGTTGCAGCCCGTAAGTGTCGGCGGGTCCAAAATTCCCGTATGTCCACGTGCACTCCTGCTGAAATACTCGATGGCGCACCCGCCATGCAGTAAAAGCCGCTGCACTTATCCGGTCGGGCGGGACGGCAGTTAACTCCCGCGAAGTCGGGCAGTCTTGTGTCGTCTCTCCTCGCCACCGACATTTTCGGACGCAAAACACCATTTGCGCCTGGCGAGTTCCCCAACCGACTTTTCTTCGACAGTAGCTCCGTAAATTTCGCCCACAGTGACGCACGTCCTTCATCGCCAGCTGCCGAGCCACACTCCGCGAGTCATGCGCGCAAAATGACGACGATCCACCGTTGTGACTTGCCGCTTGGGACGAGCTCCGAAGTTGTCGCGCAGCTGTTGACCGAGGTCCAACGGCGTCAACTGCCACACACGCTGACGACCCCGCAAATTTTGTGCAATTGCCGACGCAGGTCCGCTGACGCTAGCTGCCTCACAGAAATTCGAAATCGTCGTTAAAACCGCAGCGGAAATAGTAACTCACGTTCGATGTCGCGACAGCTCCAGCTGTCCGTTGCCCGGGGGGAGGGAGGCCACGGTCGATCGCGACCGTCGAAGGCAAGGATCTGGCGGTGCCGAGGAGTGCACTAAAAATCCATGGCCGCGAAGAGCAACTAACCCGTTCTCTAAGCCGGCCTACGCAACTCCTGGACCCCAAGACATCCTTCCTCGTCCATCCCCCGAGGGGTAATACACTCTAAAAAGCGGGGTAGGCTAGGAAAGTAGCTCTGATACCAGGTGTTATGAATGAACTTGTCAGAGTGCGCAGATATCGAATAACGAGAATGAAGAATTACAGAATGACTGAACAATGAAGTAGCGAGGCCTAAATAGGGGAAAACCTAGCTAGGCGGGGGGTTCGGGATGGGATGGCTCGGTGATGGCTACGGGAGCGGAGGCCGAATCGGGGTGGTTCGGTGCGACGAATTAGGCGAGGCAGGTTCGTCGCGACACCCTCGGGATGTACTCGCTAAAGTGCGAGTACAGTAAGGAATTGTAATTCCTTACAGACGGTTTTGTGTCCGTGAAAACATCCGGTACTGGTGTACGGAATGTCGCGTTTCGCGAGCGTTGTTTTTTGGACACTTTGCGCAACGCAGACGCAGGCTTTTCGTAGAAAAACCTTCGAACCCCCAAATTCTACATTTTCCTTTTCCGCGATGACGGCATTCGTCAACACTTGCCTGCCAGGTCACAATGCCTTGACTTCAGTGCACTTGGATTGGATGGTGAGCTGTGCAAGTTTGGGGCCGATGGAGCTGGCAGCTGCACCCAATCGCTTCGTGTTTGGTCCTACTACTACAGTACACTAGTCACTGTCCTTTTGAAACGAAATCGTTTTGACAGTTATCACGGCTGGCAGGTCGCCTTCACGTGCCGCGTGTCACACGACGGGTGGCTCCACTCACATGACGCCGCCGAGTTTTCGACTGACTCCGACGTATCACACGTACTGTACGGTTTACGTTGACATCCTAGCGGAGGGTTTTTCAGTCCGGGGGTGCCGTGGGCAGGCTGCGCAACTGCAAGCCATGATGATTCCATTAATTTCTCTGCCCGCTGCTGCTCCCACTTGGCCCACACTGCTCCACACTGATGCTCCTTCCTCCTTCGAGACATTTCCAGTCCCTCGCGCAATGCGAGAAGCGGCAAACCCCTCAGCTGCCGCAAAGACGCATCGCGGAAAAGGGAAATTGCGTTTTGGGGTGTCCGAAGGTTTTTCTGCGTGGGGCTTGCGTGATTGTTGCGACAAGTGTCCGAAAAACAAGGACCGTAAAACGCAACATTGGCGCGATCAATAACCGCACACTGGACCACAACATTACCGCCACCAAAATGTCACTTTGGGGTCACCTGCGCCATTATCCGCGCCGCCTCCACGAATGCGCCTCGAACACATGCGGCTCGAGCCAAAAACGCCACACATACTCGGTATTGTCGTGTCGCCCCTCCCCCGCTACAGGGACCACAGAAACGATAAATGCACACCTACTCCGAGCAACTGTATATACTGAACAAACCAAACTACACTGCTCTGCACACCGTCTACTTCATAATGTGTAAACCGTGTCATTCGCTTGCAACTCCAGCACTCAGCAATACAAAGTACAACATCACACAAAACCAAACCCTACTGTCAACCAGCAACCACAACTACAAAGATGAGCCCACCCTTCGAGGCATGCCCTCCAACAAACACTCCCCCCACCCACTACAGCATCAAAACCAAGCGCACTACACGGACCCACTGTCCGACGACCCCGAACTGCGAGCTCGCTTCTTCGGTGTGCGGCTTAGGCGGCTAACCACCTCTCCATCAGAGGCGCCAACGACAGTCGCCACCTCCGCAGGAGCAATCCCCAGCGCCTCCGCGTGACACACGTACGCGTTCGTCACATTGCGGATGGCACGTCGTCGGCTTCGTTCGTCACGCATCAGAGGCCCATCCGGCAGGCACATCTCGCCCTCGTCCCCTGAAGACGTCGGCGTCGTTGGCGTCACCAACTTCACACCAGCCTTCTCCATTAACCACTCATCGCATGTCACGTAATCGGACACCGGCATATAAATAGCCGGCCGCACACGGAACTCACGTAGCAGCACCAGGAGGTCCGTTGTGGTAGAGACCAGGGGATCGTACATGCCGGCCGAGTACATGCCGTGCAGGTGCCACATCAGCTCCCACCATGACTCCGGGACGCATCCCGCCCTCCACCAGCTCCTTTGCATCGTTGCCGCCGTCAGCGCCTTCCATGCCAAGCCCACCCACAGCAGCATAACACCGTAATTCACCTGGGAAATCGGCGCTTCGAAATCCTCGTGGAACAGATTGGACCGCACCGCGCGTCTCATCAGTATCACACGATACTCAGCCTTGAAAGCGTCCACCACGCCGTGCAAAAACGGCATACTGGACCAGTGCACAACGTCTGTCAGGTCCACAAAGCGTGTGTGCGTGAAATGCACCATAGTCAGCCCATGCTCCACCGTGGTCTCCGCGTCATTCGCGGTAATGCGGTGCGCCGTGTTGTAGGTGAACACAACCGTCTTCCTTCCACGGCTAAGCTGCACCCCATCAACCGTCTGAAAAAACTCGGTAAACACCTGCGCACCGCCAAGCCACGACAGCGCCAGCGCGGAATTAGGGTATCACACAGAAACAGGGTTGAAATGCAGCCACAACATTATACACATGTGCTGGTGGGAGTCCACTCGAAATCCGCCCACATACCTCGGGTGTGAGGCGCCCACTCTTCGTGTAGCGCACAATCACCGCCGGTGCAGGATCCCCGCTGCGCCTAGGTTCGGGGCGCTCGTCATGGCGCAACACCACAAGGGGCACCGTGGTGCAGGTCCCCGTCGCATTGTACAAGAAGCCGACACTTATGATCCGGTCACACGGGGTTCCGTTCTGTCAGAATGAACAGACAGGAATGACTGTACTAGCACAAAGTTGGATACAAGTAGTAAACCCTAATCTAGTGTACCCCCTAAGGTGTAACCCACTACAGCCTACAATCATATAAACATATAATGTTTGACACACCCCCAAAGGCGTAGTGGGAGACAACCACAGGGTCACGAGACCAGTCAAAGCAAAGGAAGGCAAGCTCAGGGTGGATCTCAAGGATTCCACACAAATTCCGAGCACAAGCTAGTGGTCACAAGACCAGTTCACATGCAGGTTTATAACAGAGCAAGAGATACAGTGATCACAACCTAGCAAGAGTAAACATGCAGGTATAGATATATATAGTGATCACAGTACAAGCAAAGTCAAGAGGTAAGTAAGTGAGGTCCAGTAGGCACAAGGCCTAGTAGAGTGCAGAAGCGCTGATGGTCACGAGGCTGAAGCGCCTTGGTGAACACATCAGCAGTGTTGGCCTCAGTGGCCACGTAGCGAATACAAAGCTGACCGCGCTGCTGCAGCTCACGAGCAAGGAAGTACCGCAGGGCGATGTGCTTCGTTCTGTGCTCCAGTCTGTGCTCCTCACACAAGGCAATGGCAGCCTTGTTGTCGACGTACAGTACTGGAGGAGAACGAGGCGGCTCTCCGAGGTCGGTCAGCAGGTAGGTCAGCCAGCGTAGCTCCTGGGCAGCCATGGCTGTAGCGTAGATCTCAGCCTCGCAACTGGAGCCGAGAACAGAAGAAGAGCGTGTAGAGCGCCAAGAAACTGAGCCAGAGCCAAGGCTGAAGGTGTAACCCTGAGACGACCGCTGAGTGGCCTGGTCGTCTGCCCAAGAAGCGTCTGAGTGCCCTGTGAGAACAACCCGGTATCTTGGTCTTCGGCAACCGGCTGGGCATAAACGGTATCTCCACAAACAGAAACACATCGTCGGGGAGCACTTTCAGCTTCTGTACGATGTCCTTCAACGGGGGCTTCACCGAGCTCATACTGGCCACCAGCACACCCCGGACAACGTGTGGGACGCTGGAGATGAAATGGTGGACGTCCCCAAAATGATCCACCAAAAGCCCAAACCGTACTCTCCACCACCACATGTGCTGCCTTTTAGGCGCTCCACATGTGCAGCAACCACTGAATCGCTCTCCAACTGAACACTGTCCACTACATGCCAGGTACACAATTGCGCAGTTCCCATTGGCCCAACCTGTCAACCTCTGATGTCGTACACGTCACACAAGTGCGCACCCTCCAGTCACACGCACTAGAAATCCGAACATCGAACCAATTAACCCCAGCCACATATCCAATTGGATTCCGTAACAAGAGTGTCCCTGCCTTTCAGCCACAAAACCCCAATCCGCACACCAGTGCCCGGAACCAACAACCGTAATAACCAAATCCGTTACGAGCATTGCCTCAGTCCACACACCGGCCGCCAAAATTACAGTATGACGGTGAATTTCCAAAATCCCACATTCCCACCACACAAGCCCCCCAAATCAAAGCATGATACCTGCGTACTATTCTGTTGCGCACTCTCCTTCCCTTACCCAGGTTCCCATGCACCCCTAAATGCCACAATCCCACAATTCCACCTCTTCTAGGAGTGTAACAAAACCACCTTCCCTCAGTTCCAAACACACAGCCCAACTCCAATTACTCGCAGAGTAGAAACTTGTTAACCAGCAGCAGACGAGGGTTGCTGTACGAAGGGCATACGTGCACAACCCTCTGCAGGCTCTTCAGCAACACCACTGCGAACCGGACACTCTCTCGAGCTGGATGCAACTGGGTGCACGTTGTGATGGGACACTGGCCTGCTGCTTCGTAGTACCTCACGTAGGCACACCCAGTCCACTTGCCCTCCGCGTTCAACGCCTTGAAAATACATAGGCATCTAGCAAACCAATCCCCGCCTCCAGGAGCCAGGAGTGCCACATCTGAGAACAGGTTCTCTCGCGGGGACGCCTTGACGAACGTCCCCTTCGCCACAAGCACCCCACCCTGCGTACGTGGTATGGCCACTGCTGTGTGTGTCTGCAATAAGGCAAGCACCACGCACAAATCAAAGAGGTCAGGCAATGTCACTCGTTCCGCGCACCAAAAACCGACAATCCGCGCACCACAAAAAACCATTACCTGCACACTGCCAGGGTTCAACTGCATCTCCCGCAGCTGACCTGGTAGGCCCGCCATCTGATCCCCAAATACCGCTGCGTACTCGGCAAACACCTTGTCCGCGGTGCCTCCGAGGCGCATGACCCTGAACTTCTTCGTTAGCACTGGCTCCATCTCTTCCACGGCCTGCCGCACACAACCACCGGCGACACAGCATGCACTGAATGAGAGTGCATAGCAAACACGCACCTGGTACAGGGCGTGAGTCGCCCAGCGCACCACCCCTAGTCTTGCTTGCACCCAAACACTCACCACACGCAGCGCTGACACGTACTGCCGACCTCCTCCCGCATCCGCCGCCACTTCTCTGTAAATCTCCCGCTGCATCTCCTCATCCACAATTCTCCTCGGAATGTCAGCCCAGTTGCTCCCCCTCACGGGACCCTTCACTGTCCCCTTGTGAGTGCGCTCCCACATCTCCGTGCTGTAGTGGTGTGGCATCCCCCTTGCTTCCACGTTCTCGAGAAGATGCTTGATCATGTGGATCTTGGGAATTTCCCACTTTGACGCCTGGTCCGGGAAAGCTTTGGGCAGTAGCTCCATCAGCCTGCATAGCAAACAGTTGTGTAGCTCAGAGGACGGGTCAGCAACTGGAAAGCACAGGGTTAAGGGTGCACAAGGATTGCAATCAACACACGTCTCCAACCACCGTACTTACGCAAGGCCTCTTTCAGCGTGGCACGGGTGTGCGCCGCCACTCCCAAAAACGCCTTGTAGAACAGGGCGTAATAACGGAATGCTCTAACCTGCAGCGCCCTCAACTCTCCCGCCTCGCCCTTCTTCAAGGCGCTAGAATCCGCAATTAGGATCGGCATGATTTGCATCATGGCACGATGTTCGAACGCCGCATAGTGGGCACCGGAAAGGAAGAATGATGATCCCCCTGGAATCCGCAGCAGCACACTTGGAGTATCGCTTTTGAACCCTTTCTTCCGCCTGCCACGCAATAGGGGCCAACGAGCCAGGGTCGCATCTCGGCCAAGCCATAAAACCCGTTCCAAGGAACTGACAAAGCCCTGACCACCCCAAAACACCGCACTGATGATCTACACGGCTCACCTCTCCAGGATGCGGATCTCGACTTTACCCAGAGGGGAAAGGTATTCTTCCATCATGTGTACGAAGACACCAGAGTCCAGCACGTGTAAAATGTCAGCCAAACATGCGAGGTAGACGTTCCCCCAGGTGGTGTTCCCAAAGTTCCACCGCGCCAGCACGCACTGCGCACAGAAGGAAGCACGTCACAACCCTAGATGTCCAGTGACGCCACCAGTCGAACGAATGTTTCCACGGCACAATGGCAAACTGCAACATACCTCTATCGGATGGGTTGACCACTGGCTCATGTACTTCCGGGCGTCCTCCTTTTTGGCGAACGCAAAAAACTGTCGCACAATGTCCTTCTGCCGCTCAGGTGTGCGTGGATCTATTCTAGCAGTCAGCCGTTTCAGCTCTCCCACTTCTGCATAGCAGTTAGCGCAGGGGCGACGCGTGCCCGTCTGCAGCGTGGCTGAGGCCCTACTGTTCTCTGGATAGTCACCAGGGTACCCATAGAGGCAAGGTACCGCCTTGACCACATTGCCGGTGGCGTCTGTCACATAAAAGTACCTCACAGGAGCACTGGATACAGAAAGGGATTTCGAATAGGTAACGGATCACAGGGCGTTGACACAAGCAACGCGTTTACCGCGTGAAGAACCAACACACATGCCGCCAAACGTACCTTGCGGTTTCCCGCATCATGGGCCCTAGGATGATCTTCAGCGCCTCCTGGAAAACACGGGCCTTCTCTGTCGGACTAGCCCATTCCGGACAGAATGGCAACACTGCCGCAAGAGTGTGGCCCGGCTCAAACCACCTGAATTCCTCTGAAATGTTAACAAGCGATATCAGAACAGGCCACGCATTCCGCCGCCCGTTGCGCGACGCCTGAGTGCTGTCGCTGTACACGATGACCCCGAGAACTAGAGCCTTGTCGTCCTTGATCTCTTTCTGCCACACGCACACACCGAGGTGGTTATTACGGAACAAGGCCCTTGCATCGGACATGCACTGTTTCAGCCAGGCAACGCACCTGCGCCTCGTGCATCCACGTGCCTGTTTCTGGCCCCTCGAAAACGCGCTTCCCCTTCTCGTTGTACTTCTCCTGTGGCTTCCACACGAAACCCTTCCTCCGCGAAAAAATGCGGACTAGCTTCTTCACAAGCTGCACAACAGAGCAGGGCCATAGGAAGCATGCGCGATAACACAAATATAGATAGGCACGTTACACGCCATCTGTCACAACACCTAAGCCGAATAAGGGCGGTACGCAGATGACGACAAGCTCACCAGCTCTGTGTCGCGGAAGTGCAAGAGAAGCTTTTGGGACATTCCTCTGGGCCCGTGCACGACGATATGCTCTGTTTTCCATGGAACCATATCTGGCGGCGCACGCTCTTTCCCCCATCGCTTCACGTCGGCGTGTCAGAATATTATGCTCTAGCCTGCAGTGGGGTGCTCTATAGCGAGTACAACCCTTCTAGGGTTAGCTATTTGTACCACCATTGTTGCTAGTGCAACCCCTCCTTTCTTCATTCTTACTTTCTACAGCTAGTTCTGACATGGTATCAGAGCAGGTCGACCCTCCTGGGTCGATCCTGTGGGTGGGCCCGCCACCTAATGCTTCCGCTGCTGTCCTGCTTATCGCGCGCCTCGGGCGCGCGACGTTTTCTGCCTACTGCGCGCTCGCAAGGCGCGGCGTTTTTAGGGTTTCGGCGGTTTTCATCCCGCCGTGCGCTCGGGGCGCGCGGCGGTTTTCTGCCCGCCGTGCGCCCCGAGGCGCGCGGCGGTTTCCCACCGTCGAAGTGCCCCCCGTCGCCCGTCGAAGCGCCCTCCCCCCGTCGCCCGTCGAAGCGCCCCTGGGACCCGCGCGCGGCCCGTACGGGCTGCGCCAGGCCCGCGTGCGGCCCGTACGGGCTGCGCCAGGCCCGCGCGCGGCCCGTACGGGCTGCGCCAGGCCCGCGCGCGGCCCGTACGGGCTGCGCCAGGCCCGCGCGCGGCCCGTCCAGCCCGCGCGCGGCCCGTACGGGCTGCGCCAGGCCAGCGCGCGGCGCGGGCAGCCTGCGCGCGCCTCGTCCGTCCCCCTCTCGCCGTCCCCCGCGCTCCTGCCCCTATCCCACCCGTTTTAGGGTTTGGGGATGTGGAGTGTGGGGGTGGCGGGTGTGGGGGTGCCGGTTGTGTGCCCCGTCCCCTCCTTCTCCTCCTCCTCCGTCTCCCACTGCTGCAGCTGCCGCTCAGGGGGGTGGTTGTGTGGGGAGCCGAAGGAGTGGTCCTAGGGGGGTGAAGGGGGAGTGGAGCTAGGGGCGCAGCAGGGGGTGTGTGTCGAGGGGTGTGGGACTGTTGGGGGAGGTTGAGCGGAGGTTGCCGTCGTGTCGTACGCAGCGCCTGTACTCCGGGGCACTCATTCCCGGTAGCTCAGAGAGCCGGTTGCGCCGTCGCCTGTGGGTCCGTTGCTCCTGCCGCGCATATTAGCCGCGGAGCCTGTTACTCCTGTACTCCGGGGCACTCATTCCCGGTAGCCACGTTGTCGCACCAGAGCCGTCTGTTGCCCGTGTGTCTGCATCTTCAGTCGTCGCCTCCTATCTACTCTCCTCTCACCAGCCCTCCTCCTCCTCACTTGCCCCCTGTGACTGCCTCTAGCTTTGCTCATAATTGTGAACCTTAAACTATTGCTTCTTGCTTGTGCTCAGAATGTGTGGTGACATCGTGATCCACCCTGAGCTTGTACTACTTTGCTTGCTCTGCTGATTACACCCCACTTTGACTATGGGGGTGTGTCAGAATATTATGCTCTAGCCTGCAGTGGGGTGCTCTATAGCGAGTACAACCCTTCTAGGGTTAGCTATTTGTACCACCATTGTTGCTAGTGCAACCCCTCCTTTCTTCATTCTTACTTTCTACAGCTAGTTCTGACACGGCGTAGCTGCGCCACTTGCGTAATTCCTTCAAACTGAACTGAGGGTTACGGAATATGTTAAGCAGTCTGTTGACTTCACGGCGTGATAAGTCCGCGTCACGGAAAAACAGGTACAGCTCCGTGAGCGTGTCGAAAAAGTCGGAGACGTCGCTCGCCTCCGAAGAAGTAGAGCTTTTTGAGTCGCCATCGTCCGCCTCATGATCTGCCTCCGTCGCCTGCGGCGGTGAGCCCTCTGGCGGCAAGTTCGTAGGTATAGGGTTGGTTTTGGCACTAGACGTAGCAGGGCTGCGCTGGCGTTTTTGCCCAACACTGTTTAGCGCATCCAGGTAAGCATCAAACATAAGCTGCTCGAGATTTCTCTTCAACGAGTCCCCGCATTTCGTTCTGTCTGAGAGATGAGACTGCAAGTCACGGTCGCTAGGAAATTCCTTACCGCACACTCCGCACTTGTTTCCCGTCATCTCGGCCTTGCTACAAACCCTAAAACGACGTCCAGCAATGGTTGAGGTAGTCGGTTTTCATATCGTCCACGGCCGTGCGCGGCAACATATGAGGCGTCAGTGCTTCGTACACACTACATGTACGTAAGAATACACTTGGTTGTTCATAAATAGCCATGTGAAGATAGACGATATGTGTATAAGACTACGTCGTTGAAGCAAACAAATAGTGTTCAACTCTATCTGTTTACTATTGATAATATTTACCTACGTAGATTTGGCCACGGAACAAAAGCAGAAACTGTTTGCCCATTATAAGCGCTATTATATTACAAATCTTCAACGAGACTTTACATGCCGCGTATACGTGCACGTGCTCCCACGTACGCATCCCGTAAACAGGGGCTTTCCCATCCGGCACTGTTTGATCACTGCTACACTGGCCAGGTGGCCCCGTGTCTACACCTTGCCCACAGCGGTGTACTAGCAATTCGTGCGAGGAAGTGCCAATTTCGTGCCTTACGTCACGAGCCAGATGTACGCGTTTGTGCATTGTCGTATCACTTTATATCATCATAAGTCGAAACAAATGGGAGTTGGCCCTACCAACTGGACCACTACTTTATCGACGCTACACTGCCTTCCGAATTGAAAATGCCTGATATAAAACAAGTCATACACGCACCCCCGTTATTAGGAGCCTCTCGATGTCGTGCTGGCTACGGAGCAATGACATGCACTCATCCAACTATTCCAGACCATTTTGCGGTGCCCAGCTGTCATCATCCCGGTGACCTGTGCATGATGCCACCAACCTCGAGTAACCCTAACTGGAGATCTGTCATCCATCGGGGGATGTGACCACTTTTGCTGCCTTCTTGCCCCGGGCTATTGCGCTTTCCCAAATTCGATCGCAGGAGAAACCTAACGGTTTTAGTTTACCGTGGGAACCGGGGCCCGGCCCTAGTACACCTGATTCTGAAATCGCATCCTTCCCCTCATCCCGCGCCAACCATGCCTCCGAAAAACGCGCACACCGGCAGCCAAGAATCGAGCGGCTGCTCCGAGTCCGAGATAAGAGAAGTACGTGCGACAAGGTCGCGTAAGGGAAAGGCCGCCGGCTCTAACAAAAAAAGGCAACGACGGGCGGTGGAGGATGACAAGGGAAAGACCATGGAAGTCGCTGACGGTGCAGCCAGCACGCCTGCTGAACTCCCTCAGCCCGACGATTTGGTGGCGGCGTTGGAGAAGAATTATCACAAAGTCGAATATCGGAACGTGGAGCTCAAGAACCATCGCGACGTGGTCAGCACAGTCGACAAGAAGGATCTCGCCTCCATCGCGGACAACACATGGGTGACTGACGGGGCGATAGACTTTCACAACGTGTGAGTAACGGTTTCGCCCGGCTACGTGC